TATTAATTTCCTGACGATTTCGTCTGAAACAACACCTTTATTTTGTGCATAAAATCAATAATTTTTGTATAATGCTACTTGTTACGGTCCATGTGACTGCAAAGTGTCAGATTTGAGGTTAGCCAATAGGTCTTATGCACACCGAGAATCGAACCCGGGCCTCGCGAAAACGTGCAAAATCGAAGTGCAAAATCGAAGTGCAAAATCAGATTTGAGGTGGCGTGGTATCTTTCAGGTCAGCAAATAGCTCTTATCTGCTTCCATTGATATGTGGTTTGACCCAAAAACACACTGATAAGTGTCTGGCCTGACGTTGGTGTGACTAATGGGCCTCCGTACACACTTTGTTCCACGTACGCTTTCCTGTGGAGGAAAAGGAAACCAAGTGCGTCGTCAGCACAGAGGTTTATTAGTTTCCTGCAGTGGTGAAAAATGTGTTTTTCCGTGGAAAGGTGTAAATTAAACAAGAATCCGAAAAGTGCAAACTATATATCTGAAGCGGGATGAAAGTCTACTTATTGAAGTCATTGTATGTTGAGTGCAGACAGCTATCATTAGGTTGTGTCAAGAAACCGCCCACAACTTGGTACACGAGCACCCCCTCACCGTTGAAGAAATTATAGAGGCGGGCCGACACCTGAACGCTTTAGCTATCGTTCGGCTCCCGCGCGAAAGAAGTGGTTTACGCATTTCCACGCCAGACGCGCATTGAATGCTTGCGCGTGGTTTGCTCTTGGTAACGTCAGTCCTAACCAGCGCCCTCTGCTGATCACGCACCCAGCTGATAAACCCGTGATCAAGTAGTTTTGAAACAACTTACCACCAGCCTGTGTGCACATTCACTGAAGATGTTGACGTGGGGTCGAAGTCCGGAGTAGTGGAAGGCCGGTGATACCAGTCGTCTGTTCCGCGCCCACTTCTCTCCGTAGCTTGCCACCAAGCCGTCGCCGATCCATTCCTGAAGAAACCTCATAACTGACTCCTGCTTCGGCTCTGTGAAACAGGACAGGAGATACGGTTAAGAGCAAGAGTCACCAGTCACACAAAAAAAAGAAAGTCTGATGATAATTTTTACCGTGTACCGTGTAGCAATTTTCCACAAAGTACTAGAAGCTGATTTAATATTATAAATTAGATCAAATAAGATTTTAACGTTTTCTACCATATTGGTGTTTCATGCCAGTTGGGTAGTCAGGAGCCGTTTCAACAACCAAAGGCGATTTTTCGGTTCTATTTCATTTCAATTTCCCTCAAAAGCTTCTTCCAAAGCCCATAAATGTAGCCCCACCGATCAGAAAGGCCATAAAAGGTTACAAAAATGTTCTTAAAATTTTGGCCCTCCCCCAATTTGGTTCTGGATCCATCTTAAATTCAGCTAAGCCATAAACTGCTCCACTATTAAAGCGAAGTTTGTTGATTTTGCCTGGAACCCAAGATGTTAGTGTGTACAGAAAAAAATGACAGATGGTCAACAAATTAATGGTCAGCTGATCGAACTTGGCTGAGAGTAATGCAAAGCCCACGGATGCTTACCGTTTTTATTGGCGACTGCTTTGACAGTTTCCGGGCTGAAAACCACCACACCAGGCATGAACGGCCCGAGCCAGAACTGCATGGCGTCCGTTACTTCCTCGTAGTTGAAGTGAAATTCACGACCCATACCATTATGGCCTTTCGTGTACTGTATAAGAAAGACCATATTTTATCAGTCAAAATATCGACTGGTGATTTGATTATTACCCAAAGGCCTATTTGCTTTTCGTTCAAGAGCATTACTACCTATGGTAATTTGAAGCAAAATGGTAGGCAAGAGGTGTATCCAGGGGAGGGGGAAGACGAGTTGCCCCCCCCCCACACACACACACCTGGCGACAGTTTTTATTTAGAAATTAAAAGCGACATCCACAGTACACCTGTTATTCACACCCGGCCAGACTCACTTTTAAAATTATCTCCCGAACGAAAGAAATGGGGTTAATTTTCCAGATGCATTGTGAATCCCCGACCCAATACCTGGATACACCATGACGGCAGATAAGACAGTTTGTTAATTAATTTCCTTTTGTGTGAATATGGAAAATATTATTGAACCTAGTAAGAGGAAGGAGATAAGAAATCTCGATGAAAACAAATTGTCCTGGAATGTCTACATCATGTCTGTGCAATCCAGATGTATACGTAATCATGAGATCAAACAATGATGTCCTTGTACATTGTAATACGTCAAGCACGGATTGCAAGTGTTCGAATAAAACCATAATCCTGTCGATTTTACATGAAATCCAGACCGTTGTGATTTCAATAAACCGACATTCAAAAATAAGAGTGGAGCAAACTAGATGTTCGATATTCGATGTTACGAACGGTTTGTAAAACAAACGTCCGGGTTCAGCTGGAGTTTCGGCATTTACAGATTTGTACCGCGAATGTATGGGCTCATTTACAATCTGACCTTCACTTTTGTTTGCACAGTGTTTGATTGGATTCTCAAAGTCAAGACGCGTGAAATTGTTCCTCGAATTGCTAAGTTTATAGGTTGAAAGCTTCATATTTGATATTGAGTTACGTAACTGTAACGAGCGCATCATACATGTAGATTTCCCGCCATGACTCTACACAAACATGGATATTTTTTAAGTGGCAAGTGTTGTGTGTGTTTTATAAGGTAACAAATCATTCCATAATGACAAAATAGCCTATGAAAATATTAGAGTATCGAATTTAAATTTATGCTCATGAATTAATTAATTATGAATTAATGCTCATTAGCATTTGACAATGACAAGGACTAATCAACCAGATGAAGCTAATGGCGGTCTCTGCTTTCGTGTAGATTCTGCATATATTTTATTAGGAAAGGTTGCAGCACTTTTGTCACGGGCATCAAGGATGAGTAAACCCATGTTTACACTGATGGAACACATAGTGCTAACCTTACATACCTAGTGGCACGATGCAGGAAAGGAATAGACGTTTTGTGGACTTACATTCACAGGACGTTTCCCCTTCTCTGAAAAAGAAGTTTAGAGGCATTTTGGGGTAGGGGTCGTCAGTCGTAAAAGGAAGAGGAACAGTCAAGAAAACCTTATACACAAATCCAGCTGAAAATCGCGTTCCCAGTTCTAGAAAAACGAGTATTTTCACTGAGTTTTCTTAACTGCACGAAAAGAAAGGAATGTCCACAGTGGGTAGGCCTATGTAAGGTAAGTGGGTGTGATGTGCAGTACAAGTTCTTTGGCGTATTGTTTGTTGTAGAACTAGTGATCTATGAAGGGCTTTGATTAGTGGATGATTTTCATGACTTAATGCATACATGTACTGGATTATTTGGGCAATTTATCTTCCGCATGTTAAACAAGTTTAGGCCTAATTACACAACAGTTTTTACTGTATACCTGTCATACTTTTGTGAGGGTAATGTGGATTGGTGGCTTTATCGTGCATTTCAGGGATGGAACTGGGTGTTTCTAGTGTGTGAAAGTGTGTGTGTTGGTACAGTCAGTGCGCAGGGTTGGCCTGTGTGTTCGTAGTTCCATCTTTGGGTGCTTGATGCAGCCATCCCTGCATGTGTTTCTTAGGGTTCTCATCCCTTGTTTAATGGTGTAGTACTTGAGCATCTGCTATAAACATGTGTGCGTATTATGTTTGTAAGTCATATTTGTCCAAAAATTTACATGTAGAAATGGAACTTAAGAATGCCTGTCATAGCTTTACCGGTGGCCCACGGGACCAGACTAAAATAAATACATGTAGCCAGAGAGAAGATAAGTGATTCCCCCATCCTTACTTGGGCTCATACATGTACATGCAATACAACTAGGACCTGCATGCCATCATAGTCATCCCCCCATAGTCCCGAGGCAACGCCCCCTGAAGAGAGTCCTGAGGCAACACCCCCCACCGGACCTGCATCCACCCGCCCTGCCATAGGGCCCCTCACATAAATAAAGCCAGTGCTAACTTTAATTGATCGAAGATGGTCATTTATTTCATATTTTTCAAAATTAATGAGACAAATACACGTCTAGAAAATTTACCGAGAGCGGAAAAGACACGGAAAAAGTCCGGTATAAAGTCGCTTTATTTCGTTAACACTTTGGTGTCAGTATTAACGGGCAATGATCCATGATGTTTGTTAGACTTTTAGTTTTGTATATTTTGTTCTTTAATTTAAATTATCAACAGATTCTAGAACATGTTTCTATGGGCAAACCAACTTCTTCAATTGCCATCAAAGCTTGACAGGTGAACATTTTTAATATGGACAAGAACGTCAATGAGTGCAATGAGCACATTTTTTCTTTCCCATAAAAATCTACTTTCAATTTGTTTTTGTTTTTTGTTTTTTTAGGTCCGGTTTCACGCTTTACCGCTCTGATGAGTCCAAATAATTTGACTCTTTTAAAATTTGCACTGCATCGCCAACCGTTTCGCCTCGACGAATGAAATACGATGTGCCACCTCCATCCATTGCCACTCTGAACGGCAGCAGCATTGCTCCGCATACGTACCGAGTACATTTAGGCAAAAGCCATGGGAAAATATGGTCGAACTTTTCAAAGGACGGATTGAAAACACACCTGAAAAAATTTCATAACTGCTTCACTTGACAGTCGTCCACGGTATACTCTACCGAGCACTTGCCCCCAGCAGTACCGCGGCGATTTCCCTAAATGATGCAAACTCGCACTTGCGTGCTGGTCGCTAATCAAAGAACTACAAAGCCTGTTTTATTGGATAGCAAATGAAAAAGCCTAGATATTATAGGGCCGCTGTCAACATCAGCCTTATCTGTCAAAGTTACGTGACAGATTAGGCTGATGTTAAAAAAATTACCTTTAAATTGAACCTGTATAAACAACTTCTTTCATAGTTATATGAGCGATGGCGCTACCCTGTGAAAGACCGGTGCATGACTCCTTGAGCGCAACTTCGTGCCCACGGAACCAACCGCTCAAGCGTATGGTGTTCTAGAACCGCCAAATGTGTGTCGCGTCGTCCCGTCGCCCCGACGCGACGCCACGCGACGCGACACTGTGGCCGCTCTGTCGTCGTGCCGTCGCGTCGTGGAGTCACCTCCTTTCTCATTACTTTTATGCTGCGTATAATGCATTACGTCGTGCCGTCGATCCGTCGCGTCGTGTCGTCGACCTGTCGTGTCGTGACCTTCAGCCGTCGCGTCGTGCCGTCCCGTCGTGCCTTTGCATCGTGCTCTCGCTGTCGCGTCGTTACTGGTGTAAAAAGGGGGCGCCCTTAGAGACGGAGTTAAGTTCAATACCAATAGATTTTCATGATCAAATCTTGTAGGCCCTATGGGTGCATTCAACCAAATGGTTAGATTTCTGGGTGCCAGCTCATTAATATTTTGTGATCCCATGGGTTTTTTACAATAAGACAGGCCATAATCAGGAGGGATCATAGAAATATTTCTATAAATCCCGAATTTGGGACTGGTAGTTTCCGGTTCCGGGGTATTTCTTCCACAAAAACCCCCAAATCACGGGCCTATTTTGGATAGAGGCAGGCGGCTACATTCAGAGCTGAGCGCATAGCTTTACTACTATATTGAGGGTATTTTCGGGGAAAAGCGAATAAAAAAATTCGCGTGGCTAACCCCCATAAAATTAAAACAAGAAGTGATCTTCTGGCCATGATCTTGAATTTCCAGTGAAAAAACGGAGGATAACCTCCTCCCAAGAGTCAACAGACGGCTCTAATTCGGTCTGATTTTGCACTGTTTTCTATGCGCACTTATTTGGTGTAGTACAACCCTACGCATGCACATTATTTTTTCCAGGACTTGTGACATATCACCAGCCATTTTAGAAATAGTAAAGCACGACGGCACGATTCGACGGACAACGACACGATGTGACAGCACGACACGACGGTACAACGACACGACGCGACGGCAGGACATCAGGACGCGATAGCACGGCAGGACGCGACGGCCTAACCTACACTGTATAAAAACAGTGACAGGCGACGCGACGCTACGACGGCAAGACGAACCGGCACGACGCGACGGCAACAAGAAACAACACGACGCGACGGCACGACGCAACGCCAAGACGGCACGACACATTGCATTAAACACAGCATAAAAGTAATAAGAAAGGAGGCGACGACGCGACACGACGCCACGGCGCGACTGAGCCGTCGTAGCGTCGCGTCGTAGCGTCGGAGCTACGGGACGATGCGACGCAATTTTGGCAGCTATAGAACACCATACAAGCGAAAGGGAAGGCGCGTTACAATGCGTATGACCAGTTTACATCACAGACTGGCTTGAACAAGACGTAGTCTGATTATTCGAACGGGGTGGTAGTCAACAAGGTTGCTGTGCTTTGAGAGTTTAACAGGCGGGCTGCGGGGAAGTTTCTTTCTGCTGAAATTTGTGTTTTATGGACATCAATACTTGAGATAAATCTTATTGTTGACTAAGGCAGTTCAGACCTTCGCCGAAGTTGCCTATATTTGTAAGTAACATTCCAGCGACGCCAACAGCTCTGCGCATTACAAAAATTTAGTTTCTTACGAGCCAAAATGAAGCTGGTTTGTCTCATAATCATCTATGTTGTTTATGTCCAAGCCAACACGTTTCAGCCTGATCAAGAAATGTTTGCTGGTTCTTGCTATCAACTGCTGGCTGATACAAAGACATGGCAAGCAGCCATTGAA